ACATCCTATTGCCCTTTTTAAATTTTTATTTTAAAACAGGGTCTCATCAAGTCACTAAGTTGCCCAGGCTGGGCTTGGATTTGTGATCCTCCTGTCTCAGCCTTCCAGGTTGCTAGGATTCTAGGCGCATGCCACCAAGCTTGGTCACTTTCGGTCTCTTCTCAGTGAACGTCTACCCTGCCCCTGCCATACTGCATTCTGGGGGACGGTGAGACACAGTCCCTGCCCTCACGGTCATGGCTAAACCTGTAAAGGGCACATACGTACAAGGCCTGGAACTAAACAGCTGACCTAAGTAACCTCGTTTGCTCCGTAGAGCTTTGGGGGACAGGGATTATCATGAACTACGTTAGAGGAACTGAGACTTGGGAGCATATGCAATTTGCGTGCAGTCACACAGCCGCTAAGCAGCGAAGCTGGTATTCCAAGCCCGGCAGTTCAACATGAGCTCCCAGGAGAGGCCTCCCCAAGCCGAGCCAGCGGAGTACCCGGCTGCATACCACTGTGCAGTCATGGAGGAGGGCATGCACTCTGGGGCCCCGACTCACAACCGGCCTCTGCTGCTGCAGGGCTTGGACAAATAGCCAGCCTCGCCTGTTACTGGGGAGAAATCCAGTCTAGCAATAGTGCCACGGTAAGGATTAAAAATTACACGGCATTTAGAATAGTACCTGACACACTGGGCGTGGTGGCGCACACCTGTAATCCCAGCACTCGGGAGGCTGAGGCAGGAGGATTGTTGTGAGTTCGAGACCAACCTGGGTTACAAAGTGAGCTCAAGGCCAGCCTGAACTGCACAGCAAGACCCTGTCTCAAAACAAAATAGAACAGTACCTGACTCACAGTAAGAACTACACAGTATTAGTGTCATTGTCCTGAGACATCTCTGCATAGTTCGTCACACCCACCCTATGGCTGAGACTCTGGCTAAAAGACAGCCAGTCACTCGCCCAAGGACACAGGGCTGGGACTCAAATACACATCTCTCCAGATCTGGTGCCAGAGTCTAAGCACACGCTTTTCCCTGGAGCCTAGCCGCTGGGCGGGGAGCTGGAGATAGGCCCCTTGACAGCTGCAGGGACCCTACTTGGCACCCTTTCCAGAGCACCCCACCTCTGTGCATTCATGAGATAAAATGAGAAGGCTGGGGCACCCTCACACCCGCTTCCCCAGTTGGGGTGGAGATAGGGGTGAGCCGGTCTGGGAAGACTGGACGGCCTTCTGAAAGCAGCAGCTATAAACAGGACACTGTCACCCCACACCCCGCAGCCCTTCCCCTCAGCTCAGTGGGCAGGGCAGGCCCCGGCCAGCTGCTTCTACAAATACATAAACACATAAATCACGAGGGAGCGCTGGCAAGGCCGCAGAAAGAAAGGCAGAGAGCAAGACCCAAGAAGGAGACCGTGGCCCAGCTGCAGACCCTGCCGAAGTGGAGGGAGGTGCTGCGGACCCTGCAAGGGGCACTGCAGACACAGCAGCTCCCTGAGGGCCAGTGATGGGGCAGGAGCAGGGAGACTCGCTCGGGTGGCCAGGGAGATGGCCTGGTTCTGTGGGAGGAGGAGAGCGGGCTGGGCTCGGGACAACCAAGCCAGGGCCAGCACGCCTGCACCTGGGCAGTGGGTTGGGCCACAGGCATCTGGGAGCCCAGGGCAGGGTCTTCTGGCTAGGAAGGCACCCCCACATGTGTGAGGCTGCTAGGACAGAATGAAGAACACCCCCAAGCAGAAGGGCAGCTGTGGAGAGGGGAGAGGGAGATGCAAAGCCCCTAGGGAAAGCACAAGAGCCAGCTGTCAGGGTGGGGAGCCAGGAGCCCCACGTTCTGCGAGCGCTGGACCCAGCCATCCAGGGCCAACACCCCACCGCCCACGTGGTTCTCATTAGGCTCATTAGCAGCAAAACAGCAATGAGCAAACAGCACAGGGACCGGCTAATCAGCACACAGCCCTTCAGTGGGCAAGCTGGCTTCCAGTAGGAAAGGCTGGGGCCCTGGCAATGCCCTCCAGGAGAACTGCCAGCCTGCATGCCCCAGTCGGGATGGCGCCGGGGGGCAGCAGCGTGAGAGGGCTGCGGAGAGAAATCATGGGGAAGCGGTGGGTGTCCGCGGCACCCTGGAGAAGCACCCCACTGGGGCACGAGGGTGCACACGCACTGGTTCTACGACCACCTCCAGACTCACCCAACCTTATTCCAGTGCTGGAATTCCAGTTTGCCAGAGAGGAATGTTGGGAAATCTCAAGCAAATTAGGGAACGAGAGCCTCCAGCCTGGGGGGCAGCGGTGGCCATGCCCAGCCCCTCAGGCAGCTGGGAAGAATCCGCCCCCCCCAAGCCTCCTGCTCCAGATTCAACTCAGACCCCAGCCACACTCTCCACCTGCCAACGCCTGCCTGCAAGGGCTGAGCTCTCTAGGACACCCGACCTCCTCCTGCCTGAGCTCCAGACTCCCTTCAAAGGCCCCACAGTCCCCATGGCCGTGCTTCTCCAAGTGTGGTCCCCGCCCAGCAGCACCAGGTACCCGTGGGAGCTCGTTTGAAATACAGAATCCCCAGCCCCACATCAGACCTGCCACAGCAGAACCTGCTCTGTAAGAGGATCCCCAAGGTTTCCTGGGAACACTCAGATATGACTAGACCCAGAGCTGATCTTCCAGTGGTGGACCTCAAACTCCTCTCAGCAGTCCGCAACTAAAGAGTCAACTAGAGTGCTTTCAAAAAACTCCAGCGGCAACCCCAGCCCCAGGGCTCCTGGTTGGCGTAGAGCCACCTATTCACCTCTTCCCTGGCGTCTCTGCCCGGCACAGTGGCTCAGACCTGACTGGGTCTCAGATTTCCCTCTAAGGAGCTGTGTGACCTCGAGTAAGTCACCACTCTCTGTGGCTCACTCTCCTCACCTTTAACAGATGAGGAAAGCCAGGCGTGGCTGCACGCCTGTGACCCTGGCACTCTGGACTGCTGAGAAGGAGAATCGCAAGTTCCAGCCCAGCCTTTGAAACTTAGCAACTTAGCAAGGCCCCTTCTCAAAATAAAAATAAATTAAAATAAATTAATTAGGGGCTGGGGATTTAGCTCAGCGGCAAAAGCGCCTGCCTGGCAAGCGCAAGGTCGTGAGTTCGGTTCCCGGTACCGGAGAAAAACCAAAAAAAAATAAATAAATAAATAAATAAATTAATTAATTAATTAAAGATAAATTCAAATTCAAATTAATTAATTAATCAAAGAGCTGGGGAGGTAGCTCCCAGTACAAAAATCCCCAGTATAACCCCCAGTACAATAAAGAAAAAAGAAAGAAAGAAAAGAAAAAGGAAGAGGGACATATGTCCCCTCCACTCTGCCTACAGCCAAAGAGGACCTGTCCCCGGAGTCCCCGCAGATCCAGGTTCCCAGAAACGTAAAGGCTGTGTAACCTGCTTGCTCATTTGTTTTGATTTGGGGGCTTGGTCTTTTTTATCTGAAGTCTTCAGAGCATCTCAAGATTTGCCCAAGTTACATCTGCAGCCTGCAAAGGGTCAGGGCCGTGAGGCTTGAGGCAGAGCCTCAGAGGCTGGCCGCCTCGCCTCATCCCCGCCACACGCCCATCGCATTGCCATCTCTAGAAGCAGGAGAGAAGGCACCACTGGGCTGAGGGCGCCGTGCGCTTGCTCAGCCATGGAGCCCTCCATGAGAAGAGCCAGGTGCTCACTCTGCAGGAAGGGAGGCTGGTGAGACTGCCGCTCTGCAGCCAGCCGTGGGCCTTGCAGAGGCAGTGGCGACTATAGGAGGACAAGCGGGCAGAGCTCCTGGGCGCTGATGTGCACCCAAGAGGCGCTGGTGTGCACCCCTGGGGTGCAAGGCAGGAAGATCCTAGGGGTTCCCTCCGGCCCTCATTGCTAATGTCACCAGAGGGCATGTGCAGCCCCAGCTAGTGTCGGGAGGGAATAAGGGCCTGCCGATAGGAGTGTGGGGGTCTGGGTCCAGCCCAGGCCCAGCACTGCAGCAGTGCGTCCTCGGCCACGTGTCCTAACCAACCAAAGCCCCAGGCCCTCAGCAGGGAGCAGGCTGATCGGTAAACACCCCGCCAGAGGGTTCCTGAAAGGCTTAAGGCAATGCACGTGAAGAGCTGTGCAGCTGGGTAACAGCAAACCCTCAGCTGTCGGCTAGCAGCAGTACACTGCCCTCCCAGTTCACAGACGGAGAAAGCGGGGTCCAGGAGGAAAAGGTCGGACGCCCGGCAGACGGGTATGGATATTAAGAGGAGGGACCCTGGAGCTCACATTCTAGCTGTGCCCTCCCCGGCCATGGGCCTTGAGCACGTGGCCTCTCTGTGCTCGCCCTAGAGGGTGTGTAAGTGCACGCTGCACAGACAGCACCGCACTGGCTCCTGCCACTGCTGCCGCTGCCTGCGACACCATTCACGGGCCGTTCGAGCTTGTCCGCTCTCAGCAGAAGACTCAGGCATGGCTCTCCTGCCTCACTCTGTTCAAGCTTGTCCGCTCTCAGCAGAAGACTCAGGCATGGCTCTCCTGCCTCACTCCTTGGTCCCACCCGAGAGGGCTGCTCTCCTTCTTCTCACCTGAGACAACCCTTCAGCCTTCAGAGTGTCCCAGGGAAGCCTATTCCAGACATAGGATCAGAGCCTCAGCAGCTCATGGCAGGGGCGTGCGTGACAGAGGCCAAACCTCCAGGCCAGGGCCAGGGCCGAGGCGGAATCCCCCAGCGCACAGCGTGAACGGTGGCCTTGGCGATGTGGAACAGCCGGCTCTGGGGCCAGGGTGCTGACTGCCAGCATGTGTGGGCAAGTTGGACTAACAGCGGGACAGCAGCAGGGAATGCAGGAAGCTTTAAAGCACGGGCAGAGATCTGCTCTGAGACGCTGTATCCAGTTGGAGGCACTTTTAAATTTCCTCTCTTCACTGCACGCTGCCTCTCAGGAGGCAGGCTGGGCAAGACCTTGCTGTTCTAGGCCTTGGAGCCCGCAGCCCGGCCCCCTCGAGGAAGAGAGGGGCGGTGGGGCAGGAGACACTCACGTTTGATACAATGGTTGGTGCTGTTTGCTGTCGTCCATCCCGGGCAGCACTGTCCCCCGCAGACATTCCTCCTGTGGGGTCACCAGAACCACGTCAGCACAAGGATGCCCAGAGCCAAGACCACTCCTAGAAGCCTCTGATAGTTCTGCCCCCTACAGGTGGAGCCTGGGAGAACACTGCCAGGCTGGAAACGTGGTCCTAATTCCACAGCGAGGCAGCGGGGAGTTAGCCCGGGGATCGCACAGACCTAAACCAAACCTCACCGTGCCACCCTCTCTGTGCGCCTGGAAGCCTCACCCTCCCACCTCCGCAGTGGAAATGACAGTACCTGCCCAGCTGTGTGGCTGTGATGATTACACAGAACAAAAATGTTAAGCGCCGATGCAAAGGAGCCAGCAGGGACCCCAAAGATGATCAGCAAGTGCAGACATTCAGCCATTCGGCAAAGCTACCCAACTGTCAAGCACCAGACCCTGATTCCAACCTGCGTTAGCCCCACTCCAAGCCAGGTTCCAACTCCGCACTGCCCCTCAGAGAAAAACAAGTACTGTTCCTCTTGCCCGTGCACGTGTGCCATCCTCAGGACGTGCGGACGCGCGCCTGCCAGCAGCTGTGCACAGGGGCGCGGCAGCCCTCATCATTCTGCTCTGTGATCACACGAGCCCGAGGGGGAGACCGGAGGGACAGGGCTCGAGGCTCTCCGGGGTGCGAGCCCTCAGGTCAAGCACGCTTCTCACTAGGCAGGGCTAATGGAACAACGGGTCGGACAGCTTCCCTCAGCGGCTCCTGGCACTGGCTACACCACGTGAGCCAGTGACACTTGGTGCTGGCTAGGGCACTCACCCCACTGGCCAGAATCTTGCCCTCAGGCGTCTGGTGGGCACCGGCTGCAAGAGCACTTTTCCCCAGCCTTGGCTCGCCACCGACAGACTCAAATGCCCAGGCCAGGGTGACACCCCAGAAGCACCCTTCCTGGAGATGACCCCTTGGGCCTGGCTCCTCGGCCAGGCCAGGCTGGCTCCGGCCTCCCAGGCCGATACAGTGAGCAGAATGCGTCCACGGAGCACTCGCTGAGACCGGAGGAGAGTGGGAGGGAGACACACAGCGGCCAGGGCGCATGGCCATTCCTGGGATCTCTGCGGCCAGCATGGCAAGCATCTGGTCCCACTTAGATGGTTTGACATTTGAGTGGACCCCAAAGCTTGTGTGGTTTTGAGAACCTCACAAAGAATTCAAAATAAATTCCTGCAGCTTGAAAAAGCCGAGGCCCATCCCTGGCCCTTTGGCCCAAAGTTGTGGGGAGCTGCTTCCCAGGGAGCTCCCAGAATGTGCCACTAGCTGAGAGCTCTGCCTCTCTAGCCACTGCTTCAGCAGCTTCCTGGCTCCATGGAGTCCTCCTCCTGGGGTGGCCCGAGCCCCCAGGCCCCAGGGAAAGGCTCTCAGACTCAGGGTTTCCGAAAGTGCGCCCTGGTGGAGGGGGAGAACAGCTCACCTCTCTGGCAGTCAGCACTCCTTGTGATAACAGTGCCCCTTGGAGGGCTGGGAACTCTGCGAGGAAGTGGTCTGCATGCTCTGGGAATTTTCTAAGTTGGGGCCTCCAGCACAGAGAGCAGAGGCCCTGACTAGCTGGGCCACAGGACCCAAACACCACGGACTGTGGACCAAGAAGCCTGCTTAGCTTAGGAGGTCGTGGCCGGGAGCCCAGCCCAAGGAGACCCCAGATACCCTGGGACAGCTTCGCGGCTGACTGTAGGAGGCCAGCAGCCAGGCTGACCCTCCCTGCCCATAGCGGTGTGCTGAGGAATGTCAGGGAGATGGCAAAGACTGGCCAGAATCAAAGGCTGCCAGGCAGAAGAGCCAGCTGGGTCTGGGAGGGCATGCAAGACCGATCTAGGTACCCAAAGAGAGCCCTTGAGGGTCCCTGCCAGGCCCATATGAAGGTCCTGGGTACCGGCCCAGCAAGGAGAGCAGCAGGGAGACAGCACTCCATGTTCCAGCACAGAGAGCAGAGGCCCTGACTAGCTGGGCCACAGGACCCACTGGCTCTCAGAGATCGCATGAGGACCGTCTTTCCTCCGACACTGGTCAGCAAACATGAGCTCCATGTCCGGCAACGCTGCTGGGGACACACCTGGCTAGCAGCCTGGCACAGCTGCACTCCACCTGGCACAAACCTGATCCTACTGGCCTTTCACTGCAAACCTCCCACAGCTCTCCACGGCCCCCGCAAGGCCAACCTGGCCGCCACCTGCCTGTGAAATCAAATCGCCCCATCGCCCTGCCCCTGGGCTCCCTGACCATCCACAGGCACGGCTGCGCTCCTCCACGCCTGTCTCCACACATGCCCGATGAACCCTTGGCACACCCTTAGACTTCCGGGCACCACCTCCTCTGTGTACAGCTTTCGCTGGCCTCTTCCCAGGTTTCCTCCTCCACCCATGGCTACCAGTAAGCACCGACTGTCTCGGGTTTGGGGGCTGCCTGTCTCTGTCTTGGGTATCCTGATGGCGCTCCCCTTTTTCCTCTCTGTGCCCTCACAGTACACGTTAATACTCCCGTGCCTCCCCGCAAAGCGGGATGGACAACACTGAGGGTGGAGGGGGTTTTCGGGTTCCGTGGACACAATACTCAGCAAGGCTGAGTCTCACAGGGAGGAGGCAATGCCCTGCTCTGTGGTGGTCTAACCTGATTAGGTCAGTGGGCAAGTCTCCGTCTGCGGCTGGGTCCCAAGCCAGGTCCTGCCCTGGACACGGGCCAGTCCGTTTTCCAGAGAGAACGTCTAAGATAATGAATGGTGTCTGACTGCAAGTGAAGAACATTTTGTTTTCATTTCAATTTTCCTACAGTTACCTCTTCTCTTAGACAAATGGTGCTGCTTTCAACTTAGGGTAATGATACAAAGTTTCCTTCTAATTATGAATTTATTTATGTAGAAAAGTGAGTCAAGCACTGTTGGTAATGGCAAAAAAATGTAGCTCATTTAATGTTCAAAATCAGGATGGTAGATAAACAAGCTGGTACTTTCAGCAAAGAAACAATATACAACAGTTAAAATAAATAAACTTGGGCTAATTATATAAACATGGTTAAATCTCAAAAATCTAATGAGGGGGGAAAACAAATTATAGAAGGAATTCTCCAATTCCCCCTCTATTCTCTACAACACGGGAGAGTTTAAACTCATATCCGAGTTTGAAATACGCCAAAACAATGTCGCGTATTTTACAGATGCACGCATCTGTAGTAAGAGTGTAAAAATATACGTTAGTATTAATTCAATTTAGGGTAGTGGTTAACTCTAGGGAGACAGGCGAATTTATAGCAATTGCCACTAAAGCAATTAGAAGCGAAATACGCCGAAATGTTCAGATTGGTGGGTTTGCCAGTTGTTATTTCCAACACCTTTTTGTACGCCTGCAAAGCTTCCTCATGTACTTTGAAATGATAAGAAATAAAATCCTATTTAACAGCATATTAATTTAGAGAAAGTAGGGAAAAGGTAGAGGGAAATACTCTGAAAGTGGTATGAGGTGAGACTGGTTCAGAAAACACTGAAGACTGCAGAACAGTGAGCTCAAAGGTCCTCTGGACACTATAAATTAGTGCAGGGGTGGCGTCTGCTTGGTCACTGCTATTCAAGATACCTAGCACCATCCTTGGAGCATACTTTAAAAAAAAAACTTCACTGTCTACAAAAAGTCCCCACACATTGGAAATTCCAGTGCACCGGACAGAGGCTGTCTGTCTGTCTGTCTGTCTGCCTGTCTGTCTATCCACTGCCACATCCCCAGGGTCCAGCATAGTGCTCCGCACATAGGAAACCTTCCACAAACACTGTACTGCATTTGCCGAAGAATCCCTGTAGCACAGATGTAGTTCCAACCGACACCCGCAGGTGGCACTTGGTCCTTGGCGCTGAGCAGCCAACGAGGCAATCAAAGTGATCAGCCATTAGCCAGACCTGGGCTGAGGAAGTCAATGGACAGCACTAGCACTCGCCCCCTCCCCAGCTGCCATGGAATGGCTGCTTGGGGTGCTCGGGGAACCCAGTGCCTATCAAGGCCTGGGCCAGGACCCAGCGTGAAGGCCCTCGTGCTTGGGTAGCGCCATGCCTGCCTGCCGCCCGCACTTCCAGCCCCTGCTCTGGCCGTCTGCCCTCTGCTTCCCCGTCTGCCGCCCACCGTGCCCAGGTCACAGGGCCGCTCTCTCCTCCGAGGCCTCGGCCACCCGGCCCCACTCTTCTGCACCCCCGTGCTAGAGAGCACGTCCACATTTCTGCTCATTCTCCAACGTGATTTTAGTAACTGGGTTGCTCTCCCCTGTAACGCCCTGGCCCTTGGGCCGTCCCCCTCCTGTGCTCAGCTCACATTCCTTCAGGAAGCAAGTGTGCACTTGCTCGGGTCAGGGGGAAAAAGCCCTGAGACACAGCAGGTGCTCCATTAGCACCTGCTGAGTGATGCCGTGTGGGAGTGACAGGCAGCCAAGCCCCAGGGCAGCGCGGAGTCCATCCCCCCTTTCCCGGAGCCCAGGGAGCAGCAGCTGTGCACCACACGGGCTAGGCACTGGGGACAGAACCAGCAAACACCGCCTGGCTTCCGCAGGACTTACACTGGGGGGCTGGGAGGCCAGAGCCGGATGCGAGCGGAACCATGAATACACTCTGCTGGGTGGATGAGCCCGGGGAGGACGGAAGCAGGGTGCAGGACGAGCAGCCGGGCAGGAGTGGTCAGAGAAGGCTTCCCCGAGCAGAGCTCTGAGTGAAGCCGCACGACCCGAGGAGTGTTTGCCCCGGAAAACATGACTGCGAAGGGCAGGAGGCAGAAGGTCCTCATGAGCAGAACTGGGGTCCAGGTGCCCCTGCCGTTCCCAGGGACTGACCCCAGCTGGAAAACGGGGCCCAGGCCAAGAAGGGCTGCCAGAGCCCTGCCCAGACCTGCCTGTGGTCCCAGCTCAGCCTCTGCTGGTGGCTCCAGTGCCTCATCCCAAAGGCACCTGTCCTATCCGGGCAAAGAGTGCGGAGTGCGCCCTGGCACGCTGCTCGCCATCATCTGGATGGGCAGTGGGAGCTGCAGAGGGCACCGCAGCTGTGACAGCCCTCTGGGCAGGCAGAAAAGGGTTCCGAGGGGTGCCGAGAGAGGGGGCTGAAGAGTTGAGCTGGGTGTGGTAGTGCAGGCCTGTAATCCCAGCATTCTGGGAGGCTGAGGCAGGAGACTCACAGTCAAGGCCACTGTGGGCAATTTAGTGACTCAGTAAAAACATCCTGTCTCAAAATCAAAAAACAAAGCGCTAGGGATGTAGCTCAGGGCAAAGGCCTTGAGTTCAACTGGAAAAGGAAGGAGAGAGGAAGGGATGGAGGAAGAGATGGGGGGTAGGAAGGAGGGGGAAAAACTAAAAACAGAAAGAAAACCGCCTAGGTGGAGGAAGGCTTAGCCCTGCGAAGCGACACCTAGACGCCCGGCGCGCAGACCCAGGTTTCCACAGCCTCGCTGCCTGTGTCCACGCCTACATCCAGCGGTCTGCAAGCCCGGCCGACCGGGCGGCCCGTGCACTGCCTGCGCGCTGGCCTCGCGGCCCCTACCTGGAGAGGCACCTATCCCCGAGCGCCGGCACCCCCGCCCCGTCCTGCACCCACCCCGCCTGACTCGCCTCCCCAGAGCCTCAGGCGCCCCAGCGGCCGCTCAGCTGTGCCCTCCCCCAGCCTGCTGGGTCCCCGCAGCGCAGCGAGCGCGCATGTAAGCTGCTTCTCGGAAGGCGGGCGGGAGCGGCCTCGAGGACAGGTTCAGTGTTGGGGCCCGGGCACGCTGGTACCAAAGGGCGAAGATGGTGGATCTTCCCCTAATCTCGGAGCTGCTCCCCACTCTGCTACGGACCGG